TTAAAGCCATAGGAACATCTCCAACTCCAAAGAGCAAAACCACCAGCTTAGAACTAGCACAGCACCTCTATGGACGCCTGGCTCAGAGCCCTGGGAACCAGTGTGAAGGCAGCAAAGACAACCACACTCTGGCCGATCCCATGTTGTTCCCGGTAACTGGCCGGCCGTGATGCCCACTCTCAGAACAGACTGCCTTTCCCGGCATTAGTGGGAAAGAACTGAGATGGAAGTCCTTGCCCACGGGCTACACGTAACAGTGATTATTCATCACTATGCAGGGTATTTCAGAAGCATTTGTCATTCTAGTGGCCTAGTTATCAACTTCCCATCTCATAAATATATTCCCCTGGGACTCAGAACCAACTCAGGGTTCTGCGGGGAGTGGAGGATGCGATGAGGACCAGTGCTGGCCACAGAGATGCCCAGAACGGCACCCAGAGAAAATACGCCACGGCCTGCAGCCGGCAGTTGACTTCCTCTTCTCACCGGGCCAAGAGCGCAGTTATTTTCTCAAGCTCTGACCTCCATACCTCCTTTCTTTATGTGAACGTTGGCTTGAAAGGAAGAAAACACAAGGGCTCTTTCTGATTCTCACATAAATGAGTCTAACTAGGTCGGTCGTTGCAAATAACCCTTGTGAAGGAAAAGTGTACCACGATGAGCCAGTTGCTTTTACAGAATCACAAAAAGTAAATGTGTTACAACAACTTAAAGAAAAAGCCTTCTTTGTGGGCATTTTAGAACAAAGGGAAAGCAAAGGCCAAAAGGTCAATAGAAGAGCGACAGACTGAAGAAGCAGCCTTCTCCTCTCCTCTGCCTAGCATCCAGCCCACAGGAAAAAGCTGTACGGAGGACACACACAGCTCCTTCTGAGAGCAGAATAAGACCTGCCCAGAGCCACATGAGCCAGGGGTGTGCGGCAACTGGCAGATATGGTCACTTCTGGCCAGTGATGTTATAGTCATTGTCACTGAGTCATTGTCTTCCAACTTCCTTGAAATAAAGGAAGGGAGATCCAAGATTTGTCAGTGGTGAGGGACTCCCACTGCCTGGCTCCCCCGTCAAACTGGCCACCCAGGGAGCTCAGGCACTTGTGTAGACAGCTGAGTTAAACTAGGACCACTGCCACGGACAAGCACAGGGGGCTGGCAACAGGGTCCATCTAATTGTGAGTCAGTAGCTCTTTGGTCTCAAGCTTATCCCTTCTTTCCCCTGGGACTTTGTGTCTCTGTGTGTGTGTGTGTGTGTGTGTGTGTGTGGGTGGGTGTGTGGGTGGGTGTGTGTGTGTGTGTATGTTTGTGTGTATCCGTCTGTATGTCTGTGCAGTGATCCAGAGGGTCTGGGCCTGACATTCTGTGACTATAACCAACTCTTCTCACTCAACCCTGTAGCATAAGGTAACAAATGGCCGTCTACAGGCACACAGATACCAGGATTCTCAGTGTAACCAATAATTTATACTGCAAACAATGGATTCAGACAAACCAGTGTTCCCTTAACTTCTCTATGCTAAAGTTTCTACATCTATGAGACATGGAGGTATGGAGAACACAGTAAGAAAGTGACTAGAAGTATCAGCACAGTGATTAACAGCAGGAGCCAGGCAGGTTGTTCCATTATTTCACATCAGCCCTGAGGATGCTGACCCAAGGTCCTCTGCCAACACAAGAGGCAGCTTATACACAGCCCTCAAAGGAATCAGAAGCAGACAAGAAGATCAGACTTAGAGCTCAACTGGCCAGTCCTAGCCAGGAGAGCCAACAGGAAACATCTCAGGAAGTCTATTTATAATTCTGTGACAAATTAGTGAAGAAACAAATATAAGCTATCATCTTTTACCCTAATCATAATGAATATGAACTTTACTAGAAAGAATAATCTCCTCAAAATAGAATTTACAATGATTAAAATTTCACATTGTATATACGTGTGTGTGTGAGTGTGAGTGTGTGTGTGTGTGTGTGTGTGTGTGTGTGTGTGTGTGTGTGTGTAGAGAGAGAGGGAGAGAGATCAAATTGTTCAGATAAAATTTCAATCTGCAAATATTTGTCCAGGAAAATTGGATTTGATAGAAACAATGGGCACAAAAGAAAATTCACAATGGCAGAAGTTATAATGGATACAATTTGACTGAGGTATTAAATCCTCTCTATGCAATTTATGGAAAACAGAATTAAAGTCACTGAAGTAATTGTAATAAAATAAAAGTATTACAAATAAATGTACTAGATAGGATAGGAACTGATCAGGAATCCTATAGTTTAATGAAACTCACTTCAGAAAAGTCACTACATTTGCATCCACAAACACCAAGTCCAAGATACCAGGGTCAATTCATCAAGGCGAATGGTCACTCTCTAGGGGGGAAATGCCAGAGCCCACACTAGAGGGCAGTATCCTGAACCCAGGGGTTCTTAGGCAAACAGACGGGCTGATCTGGCTGATTCCGCTCTAACTACCTCTTGAAGTGGCCCCGTCTGGACACCATCCTTGTTCCCAGCATTCTCCAGCACCATCCATGGATCCCGCACACTTTCCAGTCATCCCTCCCACCACTGCACCACCCTTCAGTTCAGCTGGATGATGCCTTGCCTCAGCTCCTCACAGCATCATTCTTGCCTTGTCCTGCTTCCTACCCTGCCTTCAAGCCCCAAGTCCAGAGCCCCTAATTCCCTCTGTGGTTTCCCTCCCTCTTGCCATCCCTCAGAAGGTTCCCCTACCGAGGTCAACAGTGACCTCTGTGTTGCTAAACCAAACAGCAACTCTCAAACTGCCACTGTGCAGTGCAAGGCAGCATGTTCACAGATTCTGGGGATCAGGACAAGGACATCTTTGGAGGTCATTCTTCAGCCTCCCACAGCCTGAGAAAAAATATTTGCAAATGTGTGAGGCCAAATCCCTACCTTCCAACTTTGTAATGTTTTTCTCTGAGTTTTGAACTGTGATCGCCTGGCTGTTTACTCCTTTGCCCGTGGTGGGCAGAGTACACTGCCTGGCCCATTGGTGTTGGGCCTGGCACTCGACTGGCCTCACCCAGTGGGGGGCTAACAGAAGTGATATGAACAGAGGCCTTAAAATATGTTAGCATGGCTCCTATATTCACAGTCCCCTAGGAGAACGAGCCCCCTCCAGTTGGCTGCTGCCTTTTGAGCAAGGACCCCAGAGATACATGCATCAAACAGACCTGAATCTGACCTGTGACTTGGGGTGTCCCCCAAGTGCCCAGCCAAGTATTGAGCTGAACCGCATTCAAACTAAAGATTTGTTGTAACTCGATATAACTAAGATATCATCACTCTGATGCATACTCAATCTATCCATTTTTTTCTATATTAGGTCTTCCAAATGCAGTGTATATTTTATACATACCTCACACCTCAGTTTGGACTGGCCACATTTCAGTGCCCTGCAGCCATGGTGGGTGGTGATGAAAGTACTGGGCGACATGCAGGACTAATCCTGTGCTTTAGAATGCTGGGTACTTTAAGCCACAATTTTCCTCACCACTTCTGAGTCTTACCCAAATGCTGAGAAAACAGGAAGAGCCTGGCATTTATTAGAAATGTTTGCCAAGCCAACAAAGCCCAGGACTGCAACTGCTGGGGAGCACTCAGAATGGCAGCAAGGATGGTTGGGGTTCCTCGGAGCCATCTCTCAGAGGACCGAGTCGAAGGAACCAAGAAACAGACCTCAGAGCGTCTCAGAGACTCGTTAATTTGGGACACATCACTGGTATGATTTTCACATAAATTTGAATGCTGAAGTCGAGGTGTTAACTCCACATACGTACAATGTAAAGTAAAGTTAGCCCATTGGTATGGCCTACAAGGACCTCAAATCCAAGGGCTTGCCTCATTTGAAAAGTGGTCCACTCTCACCACTGCAGAGTGAGGGCAGCCAGGGCCCCTGACAGAACCAGTAAAATGATTCATTATGTATATTGTATGCAT